GTCCTAGTGTCTGGGCAGTGCCACACTGCAGTATCACACAGACAACGTGAGACTCCACCAATACTGTTTCGCAGGAGCAGCTGGGTAGGGAGGCCACATGAAGAGATGCAGCCCTTTGTTTGGTCTTCACTGATGTGCAGGATCTCGTTCTAGATCTTAAGCCTATGGTTGCTGTTACTGAGCTTGCATTCAAAATATGAGCAGACTTGACAAAGGATGAAACATTCGCAGCAGTTACACCCAGTTTCAAAAGGAGGCAACAACACAGAAGTGAGAAACCTTGTGAAAAAGAACAAAAAAGGAGCAGCTAGGAACAGTAAATTCTTACAGCTAAAGTGGAATTTCCTGAAGGACACCATAGAAGAAGTACAGCATCAGTGTGTACCATCTACCAAAGTCTTGAGAAAATGGTGGAAGGAAGTGGGCACAGCTAACATCACTGTAAGGGAAGTTATCAGAAACAAGAAGCTGACGTCATCTTCAAATGAAAAAAACAGAAGGATCATAAACTGACAGGTTAAAAGAAACAGGCAATAAAAAAGTCCGGAGAGACGCTAGCAAAAGTAAGCAAAGCTATTATTAAAACCTTTTCTAAACACATCAAGACCAAGAAACCCAGCTGAGTCTGATGGATCAAATCACAACTGCAAAGGAAAAGAGAGGAGTGGCCAGAATATTTGCATAGACGCTAAAAGATTTATTTACACGAGTTCACTGGAGTAAACAGGTGATTCCCCTACTTGAACCATTCTTTCTGGGAGAGTCAGCAGAGATGCTGTCTGTCAATTGCATTAACTGTGAAAGACAGTGATCCAAAATATGCAGAATAACAAACCTCCAGGACTGTATGATAGTACAAGGGAACGCAGATAAGAAATAGAAGATCTACTAATGGCAGCGCATAACGTTTCTCCTAAACCTTGCTCTGTGCCTGGAGACCGGAGGGTGGCAATGTGACACTAATCTCTAAAAAGGATTCCAGAGGGAAAATGGGGGGACAGGATGGACAGCAGTACGAGGCAAAGCAGTAAAAATGGCAATAAAGGATAGAATTACTGTGCACCTGGATAAATACAATTTATTTGGGCAGTGTCAACACAGTTTCTCTAAAGGTAATGTATACTTTGCAGGCCTCTTAAGAGTTTTTTGACAAGGTCAGCAAGCATGTGGCAAGGGTGATCTGGCTGATACAGCTCACCAGTGATTTCTTGATCTAGATGAGAGCTCCCACTGGGTGAACAAATGAGCAGGTACTCCTAAATGGAACTTGCTGTTCGCATTTTGCTAGTGATTCAAAGGGGTTTTGTTGTAAAGAAATTCTTTGTACCTTACTCTTAGCATTTCTGAGAGTCAGACACTGAAATATCTTTTATCATTACCCACAGCCCACATGAAGCTAGGACTTGAACAAGAACTACCTGTCTGTGACTCAACCCTCACACAACTGAGATAAAAGTTTGTGGGTGGATAATGCATACAAATGAGTTTATGGAACTTCTCTCTGTGCCTGACACCATGGGGAAAACAGGGAGAGACTACGGGAGTCTTCCTATCGGCTTTTCATTGCTGCACAAGTAGTGCTGGTGAGTACTTCATGCGTTTGAATGAGAATATGAGGGGGAATCTGGAAGATGAAGATGGTGCAGAACAGCGCAGATCACTTATGAGTCAGATCTGCAGAGCTCTGAACATGCACTAATGAACTTCTAGAAAAAAACTTCAGTAGAGATTCTAAGCTATAAAGCATAATCCAGGATTTGGTCGCTACAGAGATCACCACATTGTGTATGACATATTTTACTGCCCTTGTAGAGATCATCAGTCCTGTCCAAGCTGAACCTCTTCTTGGCTTTCATTTCAAAGCCCAGTTTGTTTGCTTTTTTAAACTTCCAAAACATGTTTCAAAACCCATTTACCTTTCTTTGCTGAGGCTGTCAAGGAGTAGGTCAGCTCTCTATAGTATCTTATGGAAAACTTACTTCACAACACTGCATGAGTACTTCGAGCCGTATTTTTTAAATGTAAAAAAGTAGCAATACTATATAATCACTAAAATAACTAAATATTATCACTTTTTGATCCATATACATATCTGTATTCGCAGTATACGAAATAAAGCTCAAAATTCTAAAAAAAAAAAGGAGAACAAACAAAGGTTGTAATAGTGAAGAAAATACAACTGCATACAGAGCTCTAGTTAGCGATCTGTTTAATTCATGCTTACTTAAATAGCCCTGTTTCTTTAAAGAGTGATCCTACTTGCAGAGTTCGTAAGATTTATTCCTGACTTTTTGGGCAATACTATGTCTATAGTGCTAAAAGATCAGTTGTTACGTATTTCCTACTAAACAGCAGCATTTCACTCTATGAAGTACATAACTTTCTAAAGGTTCATGTGTCTTTCACTGTGCTTGAACAGCTTGGCCACATGGAATAACCTGGGACTACATCTACAATAGGTAGTATTTAAATGCCCCAATATGAACTTGTGTCCCATATTTAGGTCCCATTGGCATGCACAAACTTTGGACACATCAGAAGTCTCTTTACAGCTAGTGAACCCTGGAAGAACCACTCAGTTGCTGTTGAAATGAATACATGTAACTAAGTCACAGAATCACAAAATCACAGACTCACTCAGGTTGGAAGGGACTTCTGGAGTTTGTCTAGTCCAACCCCCCTGCTCGGAGCAAGGTCAACTACAGCAGGCTGCCCAGAGCTGTGACTAGTTCTGTTCTGAGTATCTCCAAGGATGGACACACATCTCCAGAGCTGTGGACTCCACAACTTCTCTGGGCAACCTGTTCCAGTGTTCGACCACCTTCCCTTTTCTTATGTTTAAAAGGAATTTACTGTGTTTCAGTTTGTGCCTATTGCCTCTTGTCATGTCAGTGGCTACCACTGAGAAGAGCCTGGCTCCTTCTTCTCTACTCTTTCCTATCAGATATTTATATAGATGGATAAGAGCCGCACCAAACCTTCTCTTCTCCAGTCCGAACAATCCCAGCTCTCTCAGCCTCTCCTTATACTTAGGTGCTCCTAGCACTTAATTATCTTCATGGACCTTTGCTGGACTCACTCCAGTATGTCCATGTCTTTTGTGAGCTGAGGAGCCCAGAACTGGACAAAGTACTCCAGATGTGTCTCACCAGTGCTGAGTAGAGGGAAAAGATACCTCTCTTGACCTGCTGGCCACATGCTCTAACTAATGCAGCCCAGGATATTGTTGGCCTTATTTGCTGCAAGAGTGTATTGCTGGTTCATGTTCAACTTGTTGTCCACCAGGACTCCTAGGTCCTTTTCTGCAAAGCTACTTTCCAGCTGGTCAGCCCCCAGCCTGTATTGGTGCATGGAATTATTCCTCCTCAGGTGCAGAACTTGCCATTTTCTTTTTTTGAACTTTATGAGATTCCCGTCAGCAAATTCGTCCAGCTTGTTGAGGTCCCTCTGAATGGCAGCACAACATCTAGTGTATCACTCAATCTTCCTAGATTGATATCATCTGCAAACTTGCTGAGGGTGTGCTCTGTCCCATGGTCCAGGTCATCGATGAAGATGTTAAACAGTATTGGCCCCAGCATTGGCCCCTGGGGTACAGCACCAGTGACTGGCCTCTAGCTGGACTTTGTGCTGCTGATCACAACCCTTTGAGCCTGGCAATTCAGCCAGTTGTCAGTCCACCTCACTGTCCACTTACCTACTCTGTAGTTCATCAGATTGGCAATAGGGATGCTATGGAAGCCAGTGTCAAAAGACTTGCTAAAGTCAAGATAAATAATATCCACTGTTCTCTCCAGCTAGTCATTTCATTGTAGAAGGCTATCAAGTTGGTCAGACATCGTTTCCCCTTCATAAATGCATACTGACCACTCCCAGTCACCTTCTTGTCGTTAATATGTTTGGAAATGGTTTCCGGGTTTATTTGCTCCATCACTTTTCCGGGTTTATTTGCTCCATCACTTTCTCATGGATCAAGGTCTGGCTGATGGGCCTGTAGGTCCCTGTATCCTTCTACTTGCCTTCCTGGAATATAGAAGTGACATTTGCTTTCTTCCAGTCCTCAGAAACCTCCCCAGATTGCTGTGACCTTTCAAAGGCAATTGAGAGTGGCCTCGTAATGACATCAACCAGCTCCCTCAGCACTTGTGGTCGTAGCTCATCAAGTCCTATGGATTTGTTTATGTCCAATTTGTTTAAATGTTCCCTAACCCAATCCTCATCTGCCAGGGGTAAGTCTTCATTGCTCCAGACATTCCCATGAGTCTCAGGGGCCCAGGATTCCTGAAAACAACTCTTAACAGTAAATAGCAAGTTGAAGAAGGCATTGAGTACCTCTGCTTGTCACCACATGCCCCACCCCATTCAGCAGCAGGCCCACAATCTCCCTGGTCTTCTTATTGGTGCTGATATACTTGTGGAAGGCCTGATACTGTAGAGCTATTCAGCTCCTCACTTCTGTCTAAACTTAGTCAATGGACTGATTTAGCAGGGAAGTTTGCAGCTAGAGAAAAAGATGCTCTGATCTCCTTTTTAACAAATACACAGACAGTTTGGACACTCACCTTTGCTATGGAAGACCCAAATGCAATTCCTTTTTCTAAGAGGGTCTGAACCTACATCGGTCCAGGTGAATTCAGTAGCTATCAGGCAAAAGCAAGTTCTCAGTTCCTCGTGTTGGAGCTGATCCTCTTTATTAGAGCAGGACCTGGAATTTAGGTATCCTTTTCCCCTTGCCCCCAAGTGAGTACCATTACCACTGGACCGCAGAGTCACTCATATTGTCATTGTGGCCTGTTGAACATTTACTTACTTGGTATAATGTCCAGCAGTTGGACCATTTCCCCTTATGAATCTAGCCTTTGATTCCTGACAATCCAAAGGCCTCAGAAATATGAAGTGCTAAAAGTATATTAATTGTAACTGTAATTTAGGTATGGATGCTGAATTGTAATTGTAATCCTACCTTAAAAATAGAGTGGTCTGACCACTCACTTTAGAAGTGAATCCTTATGGCAACAACAACCGTATTTGTTAAACCTAGCTTTTATCTTTAACCTTTACTCCCATGCAGTTTTATAGCCATGAGCGCTGCCAGAGAGGGCATGACAGACACGGTAAAGTCGGAACAAGCAAGGCGGAAGCCAAGAGTCTTGGCTTTAAAAGCGAAAATTAGTGGCGACTCCAAATCAGGGTGTATTTTAGTCATCTAACAAAACATGTTGAAACACAAGCATTGGACATGAAAAGAAAGTATGAACAAACACAAGCATAGTGCTACAGATCAGTTTAAATAGCAGCTGCCTTCGGTTAGTTTATTTTTATATATAATACCATGGATTTTGAAAGATTGTTAACGCTGTAATATAACACTGTAAGAATACTGTAATGAAACAAGAGTTTTGGATGGCAATTTCATGTTTTTAACCCAAAATATAACTAAAAATATAGTTGGTTTGTCCATCTCATTACCTTGTCATTTTAGGTCTTTCCTGTTGCTACTATTAGCCTAAACTGAGAATGAAAGTTGCTTCAAGTCTGATTTGAAAATAGAACTTTAGAAATTCTATTTTACCAACATTTTTCTGGCAAAACATGTATCTATCTGGCCACGGTAGCAGGCTGGAAACAATGATGGAATAAGATACTTCAAACGGTTACTGAGGCAGACTGAAAGGGGTTTCTCCCTTAGTAATCATGTCATTTTTCCAACTTGCATAGGATTTGCCAGTCATTCTCCCTAGAAGACCCCCCCCCCCAAATCTTTATTTCCCCATTTTACATGTGGGATACCCAAAGCCAAAAACAGGTGAGTTGGCCAAGAGCACGTAGTGAGTCAGTAGCAAAGCCAAAGAGCACAACAGCAACATGCACAGCTTTTCCTTTCTCCTTGCCCAGCTTTTCCCCGGAACAGAGAAATAAAGACTGGTAGATTCCTGGACTCGATGACTTACTGTTGCTCTGATGCCCTTTGGCACTGGTTTGCTGTTGGTATCCTAACTGCATCAGCAAAGAACCAGCGCTGCGTGCCCACACACGCCAAATATTGCACCTGTTGGGTTTGTTTTACAAGGGCAGGATTAAAGCAGCAGGACCCACAAACCTAAGGCAGCACATTCTCACTTTACCAACAGGAATCAGGGTTGGGTCCCTTTTGTATTAATCTCTTTGAAAATGTGTGGATTTCCCCTCCGATCTTGAAATGTATGATAACGTGTTAAGACTCACATTCTTGCTCACTCTGGGATGCTGGAGCTTAATGCTCTCTGTCAAAAATGCTGTTAAGTGTTCACTTCATATATCTGGGTGCACTTTAAATCGGTCCAGGGGACAGTTGCAGCATTCTGGAAATGGCAAACGTTATCATCACTTCAGTTCATCATTCCTGATAGCTGTCAGTACTCACACACGCAAGTTATACCAAAGCAACTACAGAGAGCTGCAAATTACTAGAAAAAGGACACGGTTAGAAAGTTCATTGTTGGCTACTACATCGCTTGCTGGATAGTATGTTAGCGAAGCTTCTATTACCACCTACGGCATTAAAAACAAGTCAAAATATGCACTCCCCTGCCATTAATTGCCAAGCAATTCAGCTTGAAACAGTTTACCTAACAACAATGAGATTTTTCTCTAACAGTCTAATACTTAAAATGACTACACATTAAATTACAGGGAACAAAAAAGAAAATCAATTCAGCATCCCACATGATCTATTTGTTTAAAACATTAACACGTTCTGTTAAGTCTATTTTGGCACTTAACTTGCTAACAGCAGATGTCTCTGTGTTGCAACCGACCTATCAAACAGGAAAAGAACTCCAGCATGTTAAGCAAATGGTGTAAGTTGTTTGTTTCTAAATTTCGTCCCTCTCCTCCCCCATCTTTGTTTTTTGTGCGAGGATATTATTGCCTTTACACTCTTTTTCTGTATCCATTCCATGCTTTAATTATAGCTAAGACTGGCCTCAAGTCAAACACTGAATTGAGCTGGAATTTGGTGTAATGCCCATATCCAGCTCTTCCTTTCTTGTCTCCCTAAAATACCAGTAACGGGGATAAATACTTGCATCACCTACATAGCCTCTTCTCTGGCCAGGTTGCAAGGAAGGATTAGAGCGGCCAGGTAGACTGAGATGCAAATATGCCACAGCAGAACCTGCTCTCCAAAGAGTATTATGCTTTTCTTTTTTCTCTCTCTGTTTTTACATTAGGTATCTGAATATTTGTCACAGTAGCTTTAGGATAAGATTTTTTAAGGCATAATATGCAGCTTTATGCTCTCATCCTGTTTAAACCTTTGAAAATCCTCCCACACCTTTTCATTATAGCAAAGTGGCCCGGAGTCTGACAACAGTCTTTCTTTCACCTGTATGTTTTATATTACAATAAATACATAACTTTTTCCTATTTCCTAAAGTCATTCCTTAATATTAGGCTTTATTTCAACCTGAGGACTGCTGATGCATTCAGCAAAACTACAGGGGGAAGGGAGTCGAAGACTGAATTGCTATCCACCTTCAGTTAGGAATTCAGCCATATATCACATATTGTCTCCCCCTTTGTGCTCAACACACAGGCCACAGTGCACGTATTTCTTCTCAGAAGAGATCTGAATTACTTCCAATATTTTCCCAGGATGTTTCTTACACATATTTCAAATTCAAACTCTTCCTTAGAGGGTTAATACTTAACAAAATGACTTCTCCAGCTGGTTTTGTTCGAAGTGCCGTCACCTTCCCGAATTCAGTCAACATCTATCAGAAACAAAGACGTTAAACAAAACGTATTATGCTTCAGTATGCTCCTTCAAAGTTTTGGCCTCCAGCCAGAAAATTTTGTTATTTTGTATGTGAGCTTTATTTTTCTTTCCCTGGATGGTAGTTAATGTGGATCAAAAGAACCAGTGCTTTAAAAAGCAATCATAAAAATAATAAACACTAGGACTAACATAGCACTGTGCAGCTTAGATTAAGCGTTGCATCTGTTGTGGGTGTTCTTGTGTTTGGGAACACCCTCTGAGGCAGCCTCGCTGGAGCTCCAGCTCATTTCGGCTTTCCCATGAACGTTCCCCGTCTCCACAGCGAGACAGAAAACCGCACAGCTATGCCACGGCTCTGGAGAGCTTCCCTTGGCTCTTAGGCTCGGTAGGACACACGGATCTTTGCATGCAAGACTGCTCCACCTCACCAACAGGGCCTGCAGAGAAAGAGCAGCCCCTGCAGAAAGGCGGGTGGCAGAGCAGCACTCGTCCCAGGAAGGTGAGGAATCCCCTTGAGCAATTCCTGCAGAGGAAGCCCAGGTGTGTGGTTTGCTCTATTTAAATACAATTTCCAGAGACTCTGAAGAACATCCATGTCGGAATCTTTTTTTTTTCCTTGTGTTGCTATACAAAGGGATCAAATGCGCCCTATTTTGAAAAGGAAGTTTTTACTGATTTTATGATCTCTGGAAGAACCAGGGCCAAGCGTTCATGCCCTTTCCCACAGCTTATAGCTTTACTTTGAGTGTCACGGGCTGTACAGTCTATCCAGCCGCTGTTGAGCCCGATCTAGGCACTGATACACTTCAGCAGGCCCCCATGGAGCTAGGAACATAAATTTGTAAGGGCCCCAAAATCAGTCAGTCAGTCATATCTCAGTTTTTGAATCAGGCAGTCTGCTAGTGCAGGAAGTTGCTGTTTTTGCTATTACGTTCCCGAAGAGGAAGCAAGCAGAGGCTGAGGCAAGCGGCCTCCCACGTGAGCCTGAGGGCTGCTGCTTCTCCCATCGCTGTCTGGCTGCCACTGGCTCCCTGACTGTCCCCACGCGAGCAGCCAGCTTCTGGACCTGCTGAGGTTATTGGGCACCCAGAGGTGCATTACAGAGGTCTCTTCAAAGTCCTGAACAGCCCAAACAAATAGATTATCAGGCATCCCATCACCTGTGTTTGTGACTTCACTGTGAAAAAAGACGAAGAGAGCAAAAGAGACGGTACGCTTTTTTGCATGCATCCTTTCATTTCTGTGCTCTTCATGTACCGATTCTGGGCCTTCGCTTGATTATGCCATTGACTTCTAAGGAAATGTCCGTCTTTCTCTATCCTCGACCTGGATTTTAGGTACATAGGGCAAGTTATGTCCCACTGGCTGATGTAGTAGATTGTTGGATGATTCGGCCTTATTCATTTCAGAACTGGCTATTTCTATCCTGAGGCAGACCGCAAGTTTAACTGGAAGTGTTTTCCTTCTCCCAGTTGCATGGAATTTCTGGCCACAGAGATCCTAAATCTGGCTGTTGAACGCTTGTGCGGGTCAGAAAGTTTGGGCAAGAAGGCTGATTGATGATCCATCAGTGGTCTCACACACAGGTGGACACACACACACACACACACACACAGTTTTCAAATCAGGATTGCCTGAGCAGGATCAGACTGAGCTGAAATGGACATCCAGCAGTGTTTTAAATCTATTCCCCATCAGTGGTAGTGGATTGATTTGTTTATTTCTAAATCACAATTATCAAATTTAACAGTGCACCCTGCTATTGAGAGTGATCCTACCACTTCTGTTGACTTATTGTTTTGTCTACCTATTCCCATGGTTTTAACGTTTTCCCTGCTGTGGTTTCAGTCAATTACTTCTTGTTCTAGTCTTCCCAACTAACAAGAACTTTATACTACTGCTTTCAGCTGTGATCAGATCTTCCCTTCATCTTCCCCTTCCTCTGGCTTGGCTTTGTGCTGGATCAAGCAAGTAGGCAAGCTTCCTTAAGAACAACGGAAACTTAGCCCGCATCCACTTTACGTTCTTTCTATCAGGCAAGAAGCAAGTTTGTTTGCAAACAGCAATAGTTAAAATCCA